ACTGCTTTAGCCTTAGTTGCCAAAAAGCACAGGGCGATTCATATTATGCATAAACGTAGATGAAAAAATTTCGGAGCAAAATTTACCTTGGTAGCGGGTTTCGATACCTACTCAGTACTTGGTTCAAAAGTATCGATGCCAATATGACTTGGAATCGAACGAAAAGTATCGAGTATGTACTTGTATATAATCGTATCGTTTCATTCCTAAAAGTACTATTTTGAAGTTTCTGGATTAAAAACAATTTTGTGCTGTGTTATAAAAATTCAAGTCATTTATTTATAGCTAAATATATTCGCTCTGCTGCTGATTGCTGACCAAAGGTATTCACCTAAAGGAGGAATAACGTGGCTTATGTGATCTGGCCACTCAGCAAACCAAATCAAATCGGGGAGGAAAAAAAAATTTTCCACGGAAATTGTATAATGAAACGTAATAGAAGGAATGATGAATACGGTTTATCAAAAAGGAGAGCTAACCAAACATATCCTACTTATAATGGATCACCATATCGTCAACAAAATAATCAGCAAAGTAACGTTCCCTTCCTTGCCGTAACACATCGTGCTGCCCAAGACCAAATGACTTTTAGATCTTCAGCCTCAAACAGCTTTATATACAATATGAGCAACGGGTGGCCGATGTCGCCACCAATGCAATATTCAATGGCTCCATATATTCATCAAACACATCCCCAATTTCTTCACACAAATGTCGGCCCTCCCTATCCAAATCAAACTAATCTAATGCCGTATAGTAACGTTTCGGTACCACCGCCTTTGAATCCATCAAACGTTCAAAACGGTAATCAACAAACAAGTAACAATACTCTTGGTCGAGCTCGTCCGCAAAATGATACTCCCAAAAGGAAGTGGTGCCGAGAGGACGCCATCAAAGCTCTGGCTGTCGAAGAAGAATTATGTAAACGTAATACCACGGCTCCATACTTGGTTATACGCTTTCCCGATCCACCTTTGGATACAGAAATGGTTAAACGATTTTCCAAAGAAATCGACGCAGTTCATTTTCAAAAAAATTCTGCACCCCGCTTTTGTTTTGTTCGTTTAAAAGACAATACGGATGCTGCAAAAGTTATAAAGGACATATCGACAATACCGTTTGGGATGGGGCATTTATCGGCTGAATTGCGTTTTGATCCCACCAAACCGCCACCAGCCACTAAGCCAGAGCAAGTGGATCCATATACTTTGTATGTTGGAAATTTGTCTTTATCTGTGTCTGTGGAAACAATAAAACGACATTTTCCGGGAGCATTAAGATACGACCTAGCGTTTAAATCGAAAATAAAACCAATTCGGTATGCGTTTATCCGTTTTGATAGTATAGAAAAGGCAACAGAGGCATTTAAACATGGTATGAACTTACAAGTTGATGGGCGATCCCTTGTTCTACGTTTTCGTAGAGCAAAGTTTAACTATCCAGCTGAAAAAACATCTTTAGGCACAGTTCAGTCAAATAATATAAGCACGGCTCACGTCACTGATTTAACAGCTGAGAATGATGGCAACATTATTACAAACATTGCTCAAATAACAGAACGGAACAATTCGCCTTCTAATGAGATCACAATAAAAAATGAGAACTGCAAGGGTAATTTACGTATGTTTAAAATACAATTTTTTTCATTTTTTCATACATTAATATTAATTAAAATCATATTAAATAATTTTTAATTTTTTACGAACAAGGAGAAAATATGTTCGATGCGATAGAACATATTAAGGAGGAACAATATGACACCGATTACAGCTATGAAGATGAATGCTGTAGTTCATACTGTGGACATCCTTATACCGATCTTGATCAGAGCGATATTAAATCAGAAAGTAATGATTGTGAACCTTGCAATTCGGATTGCATCAGGCTCACTGAAGATTTTGGTAATTTGTTATAAGACAATATGACCTCAATTATTTTTCATGTTTACAATTTTACAGATGATGGAAAGTATGCGGATAAAAATAAACAATGCTCCAAGAGCTTCCCGGCAAATAGTGTAAATAAATGTCGGAGAGTCGAATCCCACGATAAAAGCGTAAATTATGTGAAAGCTCAGGTCTTAAATACAACTACTGTCAAAGAGAATTTAAAGATGCCTGGAACTACAAGAACCTTATCCGAAAATGTTTCAATATCAGAAAAAAAATATATTGAAAATTTGTACGATCAGTTAAATTCCTCAAGGGTGCTTAAAAAAGAAGTACATAGTGAATTTGACGAACTAGAGGAAATGCTTAAAGAAGTGGACTAATAATAAACACCAAAGTTAGGTTTAATTTTTCTAAATTTTTATGATTAGATATCGCTCATTTACTTCAACATTCCCATAATACAAAAGATTCATAAATTGAGTTAAGTATGCCGAAATTAAGTTGTGTAAAAACTTCATAGGTGTATCCATGATAAAAACATAGCAAGGTATAACCGTTCTCTCAATTTGTCGGCCATGATTTTTTTTTGAAGTTTGCCAACATTTTAAAATCATATAAATGTGAAAATAAAAAAATGAAATTGTTCGAAATTGTTGTTGCTTGAGATTGAAAATGAAAATGTGTGTGTGAGTTTGTGAGTAAATTTAAAAATTAAATTGTTTGGAAACGTCAAGAATTTTAAAAGTGACTCTCAGCGGTTCTACCTTACTATATTTTTATCATGGTGGTATCCGTGATAAAAACATTACAAGGTAAATTCATTCTCTCATTTCGTCGCCATGATTTTTTTCTGACGTTTGCCAACATTTTAAAAGCATATAAAATTGTAAATAAAAAATAAATAAATTGTTCACAATTGTTGTTGTTGGAGATTGAAAATGAGAATGTGTGTGTGAGTTTGAGTTTTGATTTTAAAATTATATTGTTGGCAAACGTCAGACTGCCTCTCAATGGTTTTACCTTGTTATGTTTTTATCATGGTTGTATCCAAGGTGTATTAAACAAGGTGTGATTGACAATTCAGGTCGGCTCTCTTTTAAGGTACTATTATGCCAAAAAATATAAACAATCGATTCAAAATTCATACAAAATTTTTTCAATTTGACTATAGGATGGTTCTGAGAGCAATGTAAAATTCAATCACACTTTGTTGAATACATTTTGATTACATGATTTAATAATTAAAGGTTTGCTCATTATCAGTGTTGCCAGGTCTTCGGCATGAGAAAAGTCCCTCTTGGTCTGAAAAAATGTCTTTTCCTACCCAAAACATCTTTTTCAATTGGATGTACAAAAAATTGTTCTTATTAAACTCTTATTGTATACAAAGGTACATATCGAGCCATAACCACCAAAATAACGTAAGCGACATTTTTTTCAAAATTTTCTTTTTGATGCAGAAATATTCCTAGAGCATTTAGATGCATTTCTGCATCAAAAAGAAAATTTTGTCGCTTACGTTATTTTGGCGGTTAGGGCCCGATGTCATATCGACAGAACACATTTAAAATTCATTGTAAACGGGTCGTTAATATAAAAATAATTTTATTCATACACTTGTGATCAGCTGATTAAGTCATCAATATTTTGATCGATTTAGGCTGTTTCTCTTTCGTTTATTTAATGTTTATTATTTTTCCATAAAAGCCAAGCTCATTAACAAACAAAATATAAATTCACAGAAATTGCGCAAAAATTATAAACAATTGCAAATTTTCTGCTAGATTTTCAACTTTATATTCAGAGTTTTTAGAATTTTTTCTGAGTATGCAGTTTGATAGCCTATTAAATTTCAGGGCAATAATGTGCAATTTTAAAGGGGCTAAATAATCGCGTTGATTTTTAATAATTTTTTTTCTTGTAGACATTTGGTTCGGGGCTCGGTTGTCGAAAATGCTAAATTACGTTCTGCTAAGAAGGAGCATAGCAATAGGTGCATTCAATATCAAAAAATTGTTACGAATTGTTGCTAGTACTTGCAAGTTTTTACTGGTAATGCATTCAATAACCCAAAATATTTGCAAGAGGTAGCGAATTCGAGAGCTGTTAAGAGTGAAATGAAAATAAGGATGAAAAATTTAAATCTATTGTTTTTATTTCGATGGTAACTATTCCCAATTAAAAAGAAAATTGCGCGCCAAAACTTAAACTTCAGAAAAAGTCAAAATGGCTTAAGTTGCAAGTTTTTACTAGTTTTGCGTTCAATAACTTTTTCTAAAAATTGTCTCTTGCTATCAATTTTACTCTCTATTTTTCTTTTACGCTCACGCTGCAAGTACTTACTGGAAAAGTTATTGAATGGACCTAATATTTCAGTATTTTTTTGTGTTCATTTCATTTTCAATGAAGTCTTAGAAAAGTCGCCTACTTTTTTCTGACGTTTTATGCTGCACAGCTTTTTTGATGCTTTTGCGAGCGTGCCTGCAATTGCAAACATTACAGCAAGCCTCGTAACCTCAAGTGTTTACACAACCAGCCTTTGAACACGGCATCCTTAGTCCAAGAATCCGGAAATACTCTTTTGAAGCAGCTCCAGCAAAACACAAAGATTGTAAAGATTTATTAAGAAAATAATTCAAAATCAGTTCTACTTATAAGATTTAGTAACAAAGAAAAATTACTGCGAAGTTAAAAAACGTGATTTTTTATACAAAAAACGTAATATTTTATACAAAAAACGTCCAAACGTCAACAGGGTACAAAAAACGTCCAAATGACATTAAAAACGTCAACCTGGCAACGCTGCTCATTATTGGCATTCGAGTTTTGACACTCCCTTAACTCCCTTACAAAAGCTTTGCACACACACACGAACCCACACACAGTGTCTTGCTAAGGGAGCCGATTTTGTCAAGAGGGAGCGAGAAAACTGTTTTCTGAGCAAACCTTGTATTATTGAATCATGGGTGTATCCAAGGTGTATTAAACAAGGTGTGATTGACGACTCAGGTCGGCTCTCTTTTAAGGTACTATTATGCCAAAAAATATAAACAATCGATTCAAAATTCATACAAAATTTTTTCAATTTGACTTTATAGGATGGTTCTTCTGAGAGCAATGTCAAATTCAATCACACTTTGTTGAAAACATTTTGGGTATATCAATGATACAAAGAAGAAGGTAGTTTCACTTTAAGGCTGGTATTGTCACTCGCGAAGCGAATGAAAATAACGGCGAATTTCGCTGTCTCGAATTGTGAGACGCGAATTTCCAGCGAATTCGCCGCAAAATGGCGAACGGTTGTCGAAAATGAATTTCTTGCATTGCCACTAGCGAAAAAGCGACATTCGCTTCGCCAGAGCTGTCAAAATTTGTCGACTGTTTATTTGGTTCGCGTTTGAAATGGAAAGGACGTGAGTAAATTTTAATTTAATTTATTTAATTTTATTTAACAAAACAAATTTCCAGAACAAAACGGACAACAACGCAGCAGTTCCAAAAGCTGGTTGCAATTATGGAAAACAATCCAGACGTCGCTAGAGGAATGGGAAGCTTCGGTTCCACGAAGAAAAGCAGGGCAGAGCTGTGGGAAAAGTTTGCAACTGAACTTAACGCCATTGGTCCTCCAATGCGTAACGGACGCGAGTGGAATAAGGTAAGAACTGAACTAGTTTGTGTTGCCGTAGTTACTTATGAGTACTATTTAGGTTTGGTTGGATTACAAGCTGAAGCTAAAAAAAAAATGCGACAAACCGACGAGAAACTGTGGCCACAGGAGGAGGACCTTATACACAACAAAGCTTAACACCACTAGAGCGAACCGTTGATGAGCTTCTCCACCTTCAGGAAGCAGTCAACCCAGCAGGCTCTTCATTTGGAACGAACGTGGAAGAAAATGCGGTGAGTGGCAATAGAATTGATTTAGAGGAGCCACTGGGCGAACAAGCTCCGGATGCGGATTTGGTACCGCGATCATCAACTCCACGGCCAAGGTTGACAGTTGAGGATCGAGAAAGCATTCGGATCAAAGCGTTGGAAAAGCAGGCTGAAGTGCAAGACACACTTTGCGAGAGGATTCCAAATATTAAGAAGCTTGCAGAAATCGCGAGGTATACGAGAAAGACATAGGATTTAAAAAGGAAGAATTAAATTTATTGAAATTAAAGGAAGAGGGAAATTTTAGAGAAGAAAAGACAGCTTAAGGAAAAGATGGAAAAAATGAAACTAAAGGAGTTAGAACTAAAAACATTAAAATACAGCCAAAAGTAGACTGTAATATTGTTACAAACTACTTTTGGTTGTATTTTCAGATTTAGTTCCTACTCTTTAGATTCATATCCATCTTTTCTTTACGTTGATTGAATTTGTGATTTTTTTATTTTTATTTATAAAAAATGTGATGAACTAGTTTTAAGTTTAATATTTTTTTAACAGCTGAATTTAATTTGTGATTTTTTATTTTAATATATAAAAGCATGTGATGAATTAATTTTAAGTTTAATATTTGATGAAGGTACTGAATTCAACTTGTGATTTTTATTAAGTTTAAGAGCATAGAAACAATTAGGTTTAATTTAACATGTATATAATAAAGAATTCTGAAGAATAAAATGAAATAAAAAGAACAAAAGTAAGGTAAATGGTTTTGAATTTATTCAATAAACCGAACTGCAATTAATTTTACAACAAAGCATCAGCTATTTGCCTTCTGCGGCGCTCTCCTGATGTATTATTGGCATCTTCACTGATTGGCTCTGATGATACAACGGTGTCAATAAAAATTTCAGCTTCCTCTGGATCACTGATTCTAAATTTCTTACAAATATTGTGGAAAGCGCAACAAATATTTATAATGGATGTTGCTTTAGCAGGATCGTAGCGCATTTTTCGATCACTCAGGGGACATCGAAAGCGACATTTCAAAACTCCGATCGTACGTTCAACGACGTTTCTAGCTTTCGCGTGCTTCTTATTAAAAATTGACTCCCTAGTTCTAGAGTCTGCATGGCGGAAGGGTGTTAGTAAATAAGGACTAAGTGGGTATCCGGAATCACCTATAAATAAGTAGTCTTTGTTTTAAAATAGTATTTACATTAATTTTGTGCCGATGTAACAAATTTAAAGTACCTAAATAAATAGAGTTATAATCGCCACTTTGATGCATATTCTCCAAATAAGTCTTTAATGAACTATTGTTCCACACGAACGAATCATGTGTAGAACCAGCATATCTAGCATCCACAAACCGGATATTCATGTCATGATCGCAAGCCTTTAATATACAATTTGTTTATCAGTGTTGCTGTATTCATTTCTTAAAAACTTACAATCATAGCATTTAAACTAAAAAAGCCTTTTCTATTTAGATAGAGGTGTCTATTTGCGGTGGGGGCATAAATCGCAATATGTGTTCCGTCAACACAGCCAATTACGTTGGGTATTCCTGATCTGGAGAAAAATTTGCTCCTTGCCTGTTGCTTCTCTTCTTCTGTCATTTCTGTGATTATCGAAGCACTGCAAATTTCTCTTTCTAAAATGGGCAATACCTCCTTTAAAATGAGCGAAACTGTAGGTTGCGCAAGACCCAATTGAAATTCATTTCCTACAGCTTGCTGATAACTTCCGTGCGCAAAAAATCTCAGTGCGCAACACAATTTTAGCATTGGCGTTACAGACGAGGACAGGCGGCAATTAAATTTGTCTTTGATTTTGTCCAGCACATACATAAAAGCGTCCTTGCTTAGCCGAAAATTCGCTGTAAATCTATAAATACATATTCATATATGCATAAATTTTTCATGTTTCATTGAATAACCTATCTGCACTGGATACTTACACTGTGGACGGCAGCTCCATAGGATTAGAGTAATCTCTAATAAAACGCCGCTGACGAAGAAGGTTAGCTCGCGGTTCAACATTATAACTATCCTCAAAATATAAATCTACGTTATAAAACATTTTGCTTTTCAAATTTTAGTTTGTAATAACAAATAATTCGAAGTATAAATGACAGCAACGTCAAATGAGGATGAACTCATTTAATTTGTTTGAATGGCAGCGACGCATGTCCGGCGAAAAAGTTCATTCGCCACTCACAATGCAAATTTTAGGTGTGTTCGCCAAACCGTTCGCTTCGCCAAATTTAGTCGCTTCGCAAGTGACAATACTAGCCTAAAATTTTTTTACATAAACTGTGCTTATGACGTTTATACTTTTCGTAAATTGCTCGAGTATCACTGCCACCTTAACAATCTATTGTGTTGGAAATTTTATTATTTTTTAATGGAATTTTTTATGCATTAAAAAATACCAACACGCAAGGTAAATTTACTTAATTCATCGTATAAGCATAGCTGTTAATAAGTGTGTATTAGTTTAAAATACCTTAAATTACCTTACCGCAAAAAAATTTGGCATTATATGCAGTGTTCCATGAGATATTATTATAGATATTAGGATGTTGCTTTAATTTGGATCCTTTTTAGAGGACATATCGTCGGTCCCTACGAAGAGTAGCACATTTCACTATTCGCTTGGAAGACTAGCACATTTCATTATTCGCGTCGAAAAGTAGCACATTTCAGATTTTTGCGTGGAAGAGTAGCACATTTCACTATTTGCGAGGAAGAGTAGCACATTTAAGGTTTAAAATAAATCCTAAAGGCATAATTTATATTGGAAATTAAGTGCTTATTTTATATTTCTACAATTCTATTATAAAATTCATGAAATTCAGACGGTATATAGCGATTAGTGATCATTTGCTGGAGATCATCCACTTTTATTTTTTTCAAAGGCATTTTTCCCTTTAAGCTTTATGCAATTCATGTGCATCTGATAGCGCTACTGAGCATTTGTTAGTTGAAGTGTCTAGTTCATTCTCCAAAGTCCTTTTGTCTTGTGGTTATAACCCTCATAAATGTTATAGTGTGAACGAATATTTTACTATGTTGTCACCTGTCGCTGTTGATTATAATGATATTATTATTTGTGGAGATTTTAATGTGAATCTGTTGTGTAACGACTCGTATAGCTCTCGCTTGTTAGATTATGTATCTGGTGTTGGTCTAGATGTGGTTAATTCATCGGTACCCACAAGGTATGGGCAAAACTGTTGTCCCAGCCTGCTTGATTATTTTATTGTGTCTGATATGTCAATAGTTTTAAAATTTGACCAAATCTCATTCATCTCGGACCATGATCTTATTTTCTGTGCGTTTGATATAAAGTTCGACCGACCTAGTTTAGTAACTAGTCCGTCCATCTTTCCGGATTATCGTTTACTGAAGCTCAGTGCATGAGAAATTACGCTTTTTAAATGAGATTATCTTAGACCTATATAGGATTCACGTACCAACTCGCACTTACCGTGGTAGATATCCCTCATGTCCCTGGTTCAACAAATCGGTTCGTGCGTTGATAGTGCAGCGTAATAAAAAATATTCCTCCTGGAAAAAGAACCGCACTGAGGACAGCCGGCGTGCGTATAAACTTGTCCGAAATGAGACCACGGCTACCATAAAGCGTGAGAAATGCAAGTATTATAGTAAAATGTTAGACACCTCACTACCAAATCATGTTCTGTGAGGTTAGTGATCATTTGCTGGAGATCATCCACTTTTATTTTTTTTAAAGGCATTTTTCCCCTTTAAGATTTATGCAATTCATGTTCATCTGGTAGTGCTACTGAGCATTTGTTAGTTGAAGTGTCTAGTTCATTCTCCAAATTTGTTGTTGTTGTTGTTGTAGCGGCTACAACAACCCCGCCCAGGACGGTTGGTATTTCAGTCGTTGTCGTCAAGTTCCACTAATGGCAACCCTAGGAAGCGTGCAGCTTCTGTGGGGTTGGTCCACAGGGACAAGGCCGTTAGGGTTGTCGGGTTTTCCGGGCATGCGAAGAGATGTTTCGAGTCATGTGGGGTCTCTCCGCATTCCGGACACTCATTCGGCACATCCTCATTCAATCTACTCAGGTAGGAGTTTAACCTGCTGCAGCTCCCGAGGCAGATGAAGCTCCGTCTCGTCTGTGTCCGGGGGCTGTATGCCTAGAACGGCATTCACAGGTCTGGAGTCTACATAACTGACTCCCTGTGAATGCCGTTCAGGGCCTGTCGGTAAGCAGTCGGGTCCAGAGGTTGCTTGATGAACCTCTGGACTTCGTCCGTCAGTTCATATAGATGCCTCCTGACGTGCCTAGGCGAGGGCTCCTCTGCAAGCAGCTGTCTGTTTGGGTGGCCACTTCTGTGGCTCC